CCTGCTCTCTCACACCTCTCTTTCTTTGTTGCTTGATAGCAAGTCATGTGAGAAAATTGTTGCAAACACAAGATGAGCCATTATGCCGCATGGTCTTAGAATCAGCAGCTCTTAGAATCAGCAGGCCTTGGACTATGTCCTTGGTGAGGGAGAGCATGATCTTAAGTATTGAATTCTGGTGAATGGGGAAAGGTCACTGAGATGATGAGGGAGTCTTAAATGTATATCAAGAATTTTAGAGGCCTAAAGAATTGTGTTTAGCCTGAAGAAAACAAGATTGAGCTAGGAAACCATCCTAGTTTTACCTTCAGTATTTTTTGTTTTTGTTGTTGTTGTTTTTGTTTTTTGTGGTACGCGGGCCTCTCACTTCTGTGGCCTCTCCCATTGCGGAGCACAGGCTCCGGACGTGCCGGCTCAGCGGCCATGGCTCACGGGCCCAGCCGCTCCGCGGCATGTGGGATCTTCCCGGACCGGGGCACGAACCCGTGTCTCCTGCATCGGCAGGCGGACTCTCAACCACTGCGCCACCAGGGAAGCCCTTACCTTCAGTTTTTTAATGTCTCTTTAGGAATATTGTTATCCAGAGTAGCCTGGTGGGTAGAAGTTACAGAGACACGGATTTCATGTAAGTGTAAGAAAACAAAATAGAAGTTCTTGACAGTAGAACAGTCTGCTGTCTCTGGACACATTCAGCAGAGGGTGGGTTACCTTTGGTCAGGGCTGTCATAGAGGAGGTTAGTCACTGGGTGGACGGTGGGATGTGGGTTAGACCCTTTTAGTTCTCCAATCTTAGATGTATATGTTTTAGGAAATTATTTAGCAAAATAAATTTACTGATAAATATTTAGTTGAAACTGAATCCCTTCTATATGTAAGGCTCAGATATAATTACCATAAAATGTAGTCCCTGTCTCAAACAAAATTTGACTTCTGTGATGATTAACTACACAAAGTACTGTCATTGCCCAAATTATGTCCTTCCAATTGGTTCTCCACACTTCATTCAGAGTTATCATTACCAAATACTAATCGCTTCTTACCACCTCCCTACTCAAAACACAGTGCTCTGCATTGACTTTAGGATAAAGATACACGTTCTTAATATGACCTACCAAGTCCACCAAGGTCTAGCCCTACCTGCTTTTCCGGTTTTATGTTGTACTCCCCTCCACTTCCAATCCAGCCATGTTGGCCTACTATTAATTTCTCGTGTATACACCAGGCTCCCATTTGCCACACATCCATTCTCATGCTGGGTTTTTCTGCACAGATGTCCTTCTCATTCCTAGATGACTTCTGCTCACCCTCCAGATCTCAGTTCACTTTTCACTTATCAAGGAAGCCTTCCTGACCTTCCTATTCAGATTGCATTTCCTGTTAGGCCTGCTCATACTCTGTATTTCTCATTCGCAGCATTGGTCACTGTGTACTGGTTACAATTTACATTTGATTATGTAGCTATTTGATTAATATCTGTTTCCCCTACTAAAATATAACATCCTAAGGAAGAAGGCATTTTTTGTTTTTAGTTCACTATTGAACTCCTGGTGCCTTGTGATATGTGCATATCGTAATAAATATATCTTGAATGAATAATGTAAGTGGAATAGATAACACTTACTATGGAAGCACAGAAGAGACCATTTAGAGGAAGGATGTGATACAGTGACCCTAATCAATAAATTAATTTTATATAGTGCTTGCATTTTTTAGACCAGTTTTACTTTTCACAAAAGTCTTGCAAGCTAGGATTATTATACCATATCATATTATATTATATTAATTTTATGGATAAGAGAATTTTATTCCTCTCAACTTTACGGATAAGGACAGTTAGGTAGCCCAAGAAGAATAGTTATTAGGAGATTTAAGATTAAAAAAAAAAAAAAAGTGTTTGAGATTTTAAGAAAATGACCATGCACTTGTTATACCCAGATATTACTTTCTTTTATAACTTGCTTTAAATGGCATACTTTCTTATAGGGCTGTCTTAGTTCAGGCTGCTACAACAAAATACCATAGACTGGGTGGCTTAAACAACAAACATTTATTTCTTTCAGTTTTGGAGGCTGGGAAGTCCAAAATCAAGGTGCCCGCAGAGTTGGTGTCTGTTGAGAGCCCTTTTCCTGGTTTGCAGATGGCTGCCTTCTTGCTGTATCCTCATGTGGAGGAGAGAGAGCAAGCTCTGGTCTCTTCCTCTTCTTAATAAGGGTGCTAATCCCATCATGGGGCTCTACTCTTATGATCTTATCTTAAGAAGCTAATTACCTCCCAAAGGCTCCACCTCCAAATACCATCACGTTAGGGTTTCAACATATGAATTTGGGGGAACGCAAACATTCAGTCCATAGCAAGGACCAAACTGTGTATTATTTATACATATTCATCTAAAATAGACTTATAGCTTAAAAAATTACGCTTGGAATTTTCAGTTAATTATGTTTGAGACCTTCACAGGTAAGAGGTGAAAGTAACGCTGCCATCTAGTGATAACGAACCTGAATGAGATTTGACAACTGGAGTAGCAGGTTGAGCTCTCTAGGAATGGTAGAACATGTCATCCACATAGAATGGGCTGGGCACATAACATAGGCAGTCATTTCTTTTTAGTGAACATTTGAAGTAGCTGATTCTTATGAAGGTCATGAATTAATAATGACTAAATAAAACAAATCTTAGCTGTAGACTATTACCCATCTAGTAAGTAGATAAAATGGTTTCCTATGATTGTGTCACTTAACTGAGATCTGTCTCCATCTTCTTACCCTCTTGACTGCTTCTGAATGAGGGAGTTTTGTACTCTGATAACCTAATAAAAAGAATTTTTCGTCTTGGTTTAAAGAGCTAAATATATTCAGGAATAAATATACATGAGGAAATGGGTCCTTGGTAAAATTTCCAGTTAGATTTTGCAGCATCATAAGGAAGAAGTGGAATGCCAAAATAAACTCCATTCATCCTAACAGGACACTTAAAGCCACTTTGAATTAAATTACTGTATGAGTTAATGTAAACACAGCAATAAAACACTTCCAGACGTGCAATAAATGGTTAGAAAATGCAAAAATATAACAATGCTCTTTAAAGCACTAAACAGCAAAGATAATTTGGATAATTTATTTGTAGCTCTTACGTCCTGAACGTATATGGTAGAATTTAGCTGATATGTTTTAAGTGAGTTATTGTCCTAGTACATTAAAATTACAGATAAAATTATTATCCAAAAACCCTGGAGCTAAAATTTTCTTGTTACATGCAGATGCCATATCAAAAAGATATAATTATTCCTTCTCTCGAGGCCTAAACAACAAAACCTACCACTTTGAAACGATATTAATTTTGCTCATTGAGGTGAGAAAATTATACTTAACATTTTTTTAGATAGTCCAGTGAGGATTATTTCTACTTGTCCACTGACTGGCATACTCATTGAACTGTGTCCCTGAGGTGTTCAAATTCGTGGTATAGAAATAGTCTCACTGGAAATATCAATTACTTTTTATATAACTCAATGAAAATTGTGGCTTTCCTGACATGAGTTATTACTTCATCTCCCTTTCAGGAATAATAGTTCGTATGCTGACAATAAACACTGTGTAACAGAGTTGTTATTTTGCCAGGAGTTAAGCTGGGAATCTCAGGGGCATAAACAATTTCAAGATAAGAAAAGCATCTGACTTACACCAGTTTCTTAGTTGATATCCTTAACATAAAGTAGTTTTGTGTTTATTTTGGGACAAGTGCACAGATATGACCCCGTCTCTTGTTTTCGTGTGATACATTCATCATATGAAGAATGTGGCTAGTACCAGACAACAGTAGATGTCAATCTAGCAAGAATTTGATTTAAAATTAGTTGCCAAAAGTATTGGATCATACCAAGGGGACTGATTCTTTGAAAAATATGTTGAACAATGTGATTATTATCAGCTTTGTATGAGGCACAGCTGATCTGGGATCTCTCTTGGTTTTGGTTTGGGGAAGAACTTTTATTTTGTTAGCTAATTTACAATGTGTTAATTTCTTCTGTATAGCAAAGTGATTCCGTTATGCATGTATGTTATACATATACATGTATTCTTTTTCATCTTCCTTTCCATTATTTTTTATTACAGGATACTGAATATAGTTCCCTGTGCTATACAGTAGGACCTTGTTGTTTATCCATTCTACATATAATAGTTTGCATCTGCAAGTCCCAAACTCCCAATCCATCCCTCGCCCACTCCTCTCTGCCTTGGCAACCACAAATCTGTTTTCTGTCTGTGAGTCCATTTGTGTTTCGTAGATAATTTCATTTGTGTCATATTTTAGATTCCACATATAAGTGATATCGTAGGGTATTTGTCTTTCTCCTTCTGACTTACTTCACTTAGTGTGATAATATCTGGGTCCATCCACATTGATACAAATGGCATGATTTCATTTTTTTATGGCTGAGTAATATTCCACTGTATATATGTACCACACCTTTATGGGTCGGGGAGAACTTTAGAGGAGGAGTTCTTAAGATGAACCCTGAAAGATGGGTAGAGTCAGTAAAGTGAAGAGCTTAAAGGCAGGTGCTGGTGTGGAAGGGAGTTGTGGGGAGGCTCAGAGTGTTCTAGAGAGAGCACAAATGAAAAACCTTTGTTTTAAATTCTTGGTACCATACCAGTGAACAAAGGATACAACACTGCACCTGTGTGGAGGTACAGAATATACTGAAGACTCTCTAGGGCTCTTAACACCCAGAACAGTCCAGGGTGGGTACGATAAGAAATTGACCTTGCACTGAAACAATGTAGTGAGGTGATTGGAACACTAGTAGAAATGAGAGGCTAAGTTTTATGGCAGTGCGGAGCAGAAAGAGACCGCTTTCTCTTTTGGTGAGAGAGAAAGTGGAGGGTTATTCAGGTCTCTTGAAGGAGTTGGCACTTGCCACAGTCCTGCCAGGTGAGGTCTGCTTGTAGTTTACTTTTGTCCTTGACTGTGTTTTGCCCCTTGCCTTATTTGTTCAGCTAGGATTGTGTCTAAGCAGAGCCTCCGCATCAGTTCTTAACCTCAACTGCAGCCTTATCCTCTTACCCATGTGCCGGATGCTCCTGGCTTACCTTCGAGGATCCCAGAAGGTAAGAAAAAAATCCGTCACTGATTCCAGCATAGAAATCAAGTGTAAAAGTGGCACGTTAGTCCTACTTAGTTTGCGTGGTGTGACTTTCTGCTGGAGTGATTTCTTCAAAGATGATAATAAAGACCACGTCGCATGTCAAGGTGATCAGTGAGCTATTCTACAACAGTAGATACGGGCAGAGGATAACAGAGCATCAGGCACTGTGCTAACATATATAAAATTCACATATATTGAATACTTGTGAATCCTCACATGATTCTGTGGGTACTGCAGATGAAGAAACTGAAGCCTAGGGAGTTTAAGTAACTTGACCACGACCTTGAGACTAGTGAATGGTAGAGCTGAGATCAGCCCCAGTTCTGAGCTCCTTCTCATTCTTCACTGAGAGCTTGTAGTTTCATTTAATTAAATTCAAGTGAGCAAACTAGAGCTGTGTGGACTTTGATTAATATACAGGATGACTGCTGGTATTGGTGTTAGTTTCTTAAAACACATACCTGTTTTGAGCTATGTAAAAGGCTTGAAATAGATTTCTTGATTAAGACGTGATATCATATATGATATTTAGTAGAAAACAAAGGATTTAAGAAAACAGAAAAGCCCTTTGAAAGTTAAAATTCATCTGAAATTGTTTTTTTGTTTTCTCTTATCCTCGTGTGTGTGTGTGTGTGTGTGTGTGTGTTTGTGCGATATATGTGTGTTTATTCCTTTCTTCAGTAAGATAGTTAGGCACTGCTGTATCGATACCGATATTTTAAAAGGAGTTGTTAACATGAGATCATTTTGATGTTCTGTGAAGTTCATGTGAGTGGATTTACTGTGGTAAAACTTCTCAACCTTTTCACATAATTATATTTAGAAACTCTTTGCTTTTAATGCAGTAATTTGTGGAAATAACTCTTTCTGTAGGTTGCCAACTATTGCGAAATGCTAGGTTTTGATCCCTGTGGCTGGCCATTGGCTTGGTGTGAAGAGAAGATAAATGGCAGGAAATGAAAAGTGCCCACATAAGTCTCTCAGTATTTAATAAGTCTTAAAGAATTATCCCCCAGTGTGAAACATAGGTACTCAAAGATGCTTGACATTTTATTTTTGTGTAAGAACAAGCAGGCATTTAAACCTGTAGATAAAATTGCTTCATTTAAAAATAATCTTATTTTTTGACCACAAAAGGAAATTGTATATATTGTAAAATTAAAACATTCCAAAAATATGCAAAGTAAACAGTGATGGTTCTCCTAAATGTTCCTCTGCCAGAACAACCACTATTTGAGATAAATGCCTGCAAATATGTTAACATACATAATGTCATTAATTTTAAACAATACAGGATCATAGTTTAGTTTATGTGTTGTAACTTTTTTTACCTAACAATATATCTTGTGTATGTTTCCATATCAATAATAAGCCTTCTCACATTCTCTTTAATGATTTGAGTGTTCCATTGACTAGGTATAGCATACTTCATCTCACCAATTTTTAATTGATAAACCTCTGCCATATTTACAAAGACTCATGCATATATCTTATTTGCTGCATCATTTTTATTATATTAAATGCTTTTTATTTAGGTTCCAAGCAGGAGAACCAGAAGATTGTTGGATAAAAGTAGAACATTCCATACAACCTGTGGTGTGACTATCTGTATTTTCTCAGGTGAGAAAACCAAAAGATGTTAAATGTTATGTTAAAATAGCACATTTTATGAATGATATTTTTATTATTTATGGTTTTCTTATTATATAACTTAATTTTCTCTTCTGTGTATTTAAAGAGATTTATCTAGTGATGCTACAGAAAATGGGTGTGTTTTATAGATATATATATAAATGTGCAAAGTTTGACCCCCAAGCTGGTAATGATTATTTTCTAAAAGTAAGTAATTTCATTCAGAAAGATTGGAAGAAAGTGATTAAAAGCTTTTTAACCTCTAAAAGTAATGATATGACAGAAACTTAAATGTGTGAAAATTAGAATGTGAAATACGCATTCACAGAATATGATTCTATCAAAATTGTATTTGTTAAGTGTTTCTTTGATATTAACGCTTGGGTAGAAAAGCAAATGTCAAAATTTGTGGAAATTTATCCTTCTCAATTCCAAGTTAAAATATGAAGTGAGAATCTTGTGGTTTTTAAGAGTCATTTTAAAAGAAATTTTTATCCTGAGCATTTATATGATACTTTTCAAATTTTTGAAACAGAAATTAATTAACGTATTAAGTACAGGTACTCTGGAGACAGGTTTTGTAGGATCTATCCCCGGCTGCCCTTCTGCCTTACTAAGTGACATAATCTCTCTGATCTTCGGTTTGTTGTCAACTGTAAAATGGATCAACAGTAGCACCTATCTCATGGTTTTAAGACTAAAGTAAGAACATGCCTATGAAGTTCTTAAGATAGAATTAGTTATTATAATTTACAACCTCAAGGGTAAATTATCTCAGTGGCATAGCACCTGACATTTTCATCTGTTCATTATTTGATAGGACATAGGTGTTTTGATACTTGGGACATTTGATCTGGACATTTGTGTATGGCCATTTTGAATCAGAAGTGTTTTGCTATAGCTATTGCCAAGAAATCATTAAACTTTAAGCTTTTCAAAAATTGCCAAGTACTGTTGAAACAGGCATCTTCCCAGTGTTTTATCCCTGAACATCTTCCCACTGGTAGTTCCCACCCTGGAAGTGAGAGATGCGGAGAGGCTCAGGGATGGGCTGAAGACTCCAGTATAGCTCAAGGCTAAGAATGGAGTAAGAGTCCAGGATATGATGAGGACCAAGGGTGTGGCCAGGGTTAGTGTTGGATTAGAGCTAGAGAGAGTGAAAGGTCAAAATGGAGGATTGGGAAACGCTGGCACACTCATAACTTGATTTGTTCTAAATGGGAGTTGTGTCCAAATATTCTGTTCAGTTGGAGAACAGCTGAGAGACTCAGATAGTGTGGAGTATTGCCATGAATGAGTATGTATTCCAGAGCGTTTGCCTTCTGACACTCACTAGGGGTCTGACTTTAGGTAAGTCACCTTTCTTAACCTTAGTTTTCTTATCTGTAAAATAGGGATGAGGGAATTCCCTGGCAGTCCAGTGGTTAGGAGTCCATGCTTCCACTGCAGGGGGCCCGGGTTCGAACCCTGGTTGGGGAACTGGGATCCTGCAAGCCGAGAGTTGCAGCCAAAAAAAAAAAAAAAAAAAAAAAGAGAGATGATTCTACCTACCTCATTGTTTTGTTATGAGAATTAAATGGGGAAATCCATGCAAAGTGCAATGCTTTCTCTTGCCTAAAATTAGAAGCCCTGAAGTCTTTTAACCTAAAAAGCCTTTTAAGGAAGGTGAATATATCCCTTAAGGCTGTATCTCATACAGCTGTTACCTAGGACGTTTTTTCAGAGAATTCAGAAAGAATGGTAATTCCTCTAAGGATGCCCTTGCACTTTTGAGCCATATAATATGTAATGAACATATAAACCTTTCATTTAAAATGAAGGAGCTTTTTTCCTATAGATTTTAGAAGTGCTGAAGCTATAGGACACAGACAGTTTTGCTTCTATAATGTTTTATATCTGTGCCATAGTTGAGTCTCACCTAGACACCCTTTGTTTATTTCTTTGGAACCCAGTCCTTGCTTGTTAGTTAACCCACTTTCAGTTTCCTGTCCATTTTTTTTTTAACATCTTTATTGGAGTATAATTGCTTTACAATGTTGTGTTAGTTTCTGCTGTATAACAAAGTGAATCAGGGGTACATATACATATATCCCCATATCCCCCCTCCCTCTTGCGCCTCCCTCCCACCCCTCTAGGTGGTCACAAAGCACCGAGCTGATCTCCCTG